GGAGCACCTGGAGAAAACTCACACGTGCACGGAGAGAACATGCAGACTCCACCCAGAAAGGTCCCAGGCCGGGATTTGAACCTGCGACCTTCTTGACGAGAGGCAATAGCTCTACCAACTGAGCCTCCGTGCCACCGTGTTTTATATTATCCACATAAAATCCAGAGGCGCCACGTTACAAAACATTAACAGAAATATGAATAGAAGACATTAGGGACAGGCATTTTTGGGAAAACTTCTCAAATTTGTAAGTATTCAAATCTTCTCTAAATGTTCAAACTCGCTTCATCAGATTTAACAATCTTCAGTATGGGCTTGGTCTCCTCAAACTGGATGTGTCTGCCCAGAACGGGCGAGCTGGACTCTCAAAACATGGTTGACCCACAGAGTCGGGACGAACTGTACGGGTTCTAAAACAAGAAGTTAAGATCATTTATGTTTACGAAAGCTATGCAATTAACAAAAAGCAAACGAATAAATTAATTCCAATTTCCAGACAAGGTGGATGCAGATGTATTGGCACATAACCAGACTTTCTACTTTAAAATCCTTTCACAGAAAACTACAGCAGCAATGGTGGTTTGCCACCGTCTCAACTCTCTTTGGCTCTGCACCAGTTAAGAGCCTCTCCACTGTTGGTATCCACCCCACTCAGCCCAGTTTATGGGACCACCTTGTTTCAGGTTCCAAGTGGGCTCTAAGAGGCCAATACTGACGTTAAAAGCAGCCATTGGCCAGCGGAGCTACATCACTGGTTGACCCGCAGCAAAACTGAAAACTACATCTGAACCTCCACTTCCTCATCGTGTTGACGGCGGGCGCCACAAGAAATGAGCGTATTTACAGAGAGATATCGGAGATGATGGATGATGGAGTGCAGAGATAAGCTAAAGAAAATGAAGTTTGATTACAGGACGATTAAGGACCGCAACGGGTGCAGTGTATCAAACACAAATGAACAATCCACCCCCAGAGCAGGGAAACAGGTCAGGCTCCACTGTAGTGGCAAATCACCTCCACCTGAGAAGAACCAAGAGGAAGAGCGCCGAGCGGAGCCGCACTTCACACGGCAAAGCAGAACAACAGGGTGGAGTCAGGTCCTCCGGACAGATTCTTCTTGTTGAAACGTCCAAAAGACTCAGTCCTATAAACAGCACATTCTCTTACAGGATCAACCAGTTTGCTGGTGTCAGTGTAATGTGTATTATTTTCACTCATCATCATCATCATCGTATTATTATCATTATTATAGACCACTGAGTTCTTTCTGAAAAACTCTTAATGTAAAAGTGGCCAAATCTGCATGCCGG